TCAATATTTTGACGAAAAATATGTTACGATTTGCAAAAATTGCGAATTCCGATGCTTACAAAAAACGAGGGTCCACTGTAATGGCCTCTGAAAAGGGAATATAAATGTATAAATTCAAGGATTATGCAGATTAAAATAAGGGTCAGATGCAAAAAGTGGGTCAAAATAAATGTGTATGAACCTAGAGAAGAGAGGAGTGTAGAGAGAGATTTTGGGAGATGTTAAGCGAGTGTGTAGGGGTGCCACTACCACGATAAGAGTCAACACAATTGTCAGCATAGTTGCTGATCCCTGTATTCCCTGTATGATATAGCATAGCATTAGTATCATCCATGTGCTTTAGACACGAGATCCCTTGTAGGCCTGTGGCTTTGTGTGACGTCACGGGATGCACACGTGGAGGCTCATCCCTCTGTCCCGGCCTCACTCGGCGGCAGACCATCCAGGCGTAGACAGGCAAGGCAGCTGGGCTCCATCCCTCATCTCAGTCTGACAATATAGTTACCATCCTACAAGTGTGTCTATTTTCAACCTGCGATATCTCCATTTAAGAACCCTTTACGATACAATAAGTATCAGGGGCCCAAGACTGTTCAACTGCCTCCCAGCATACATATGGGGGATTACCAGTAGACCCCTGACTGTCTTCGAGAAGGCACTGGACAGGCACCTAAAGTCAGTACCTGATCAGCCAGGCTGTGGTTCATATGTCGGGTTGTGTGCGGCCAACAGTAACAGCCTTGTTGATCAGACCCTGATCCACCATGAGGCCTGGTCACAGACCAGGCCATGGGGGTGTTGACCCCCAAAACCCTCTCCAGGTAGCTCAGGCACTGTCACCAATGACCAGGCATTTGGGGCAGCCTGAAGAATAATACAAAGGAAAAAATTAAAATGTGTAAAGGAGAAATGACACAAGATCAGAATAATTATGTTGCCTGCATGTATGGTCGTTACAATCGCCAGTTAACAGCTTAAAATATACGTACTTACCAGAACAGGTGGGAGTCCGTAATGAAGTGAGTCCCACCCAATGCCTAGCTTACCAAGTCAGCGTGCTAGATAGTGTTGCCAGTGCTCAACTCGGAAGTCTAGTAAATTACCAGTACAAACTACACTTCACTAATTTATATAAAATCAGAGTGCTATTTTCAGGGGCTAAAGTGTAATAAGTTCACTATTTTGCCATTAAAATACTCCAGGTGCTATTGACTATCTCAGGTGCTACTGATTTTGCTTTTAATACATTCTTTTATTATCATATTCATTGGCTCCTTTATTTTAACTGTAAATATCTACTGTAGTTCATAAACTCGCTTGTTAAAATAATTAAGGAGCTATTAGATGCTTAAGTGTATAACTTAATTATCTATTCTGTAATAATCCCTTTTTCTTTAAAATTTTTACAAGTTTTAGATTAATCACAGAGTCTTAGTCTTAAGTCTAGCTGCAGATTCAATATAAATCTTATATCATTTTACTCAGAAAATCTAGTTTGTAAAATTACTCTCATGATTACAAGCATAGATCCTGATGTAAACTTTTTACAAAATGAATTACACGAATCAAACAGTAACTGTAAGTACTATACAGCAGACCAAGCAAAGACATTACTCAGTGCAAACAATAACATAACCATCTTTAACTACAATGTCAGATCCTTCAGCAAACATTATGATGACCTCACAGCATTACTCAATTCCCTTCATTCCAGAAACCTGGCTTAAGCCTGATATTACAGATTTCTATACCATTCCTGGCTACATGGCCATACACAACTGTAGAACAGACCAGCAAGGGGGAGGAACAGCTTTATACTATTCAAATCAACTCGAATGTATCAATAAATCTTGCACAAGGGACGAACATGGAGAATATATCATAGCCAAATTTAAATCAAAAGACCTGCAAAAAACCCTCACAGTTATAAACATCTACAGAGTACCACAGTCAAACATTTAGTGAAAAACTAGGAAACATGATTACTGATGCACACATGAATAAAGACCACCTACTACTAACAGGAGATTTCACCATAAACATACCACGCGACCAGGACCCACAAGTAACCGAATTCACAAACACAACGAGTAACTGCCTGTTGCTACCACCAATATCTAAACCTACAAGAATCTCCGAGACAAGATTCTCCTTAATAGACCACATCTGGACAAACACCATATTCCCTTTAAAATCAGGCATAATCACAGACAACACTACAGACTGCTACCCAACCTTTCTCATAACTAATCTGGGCAAACTGCCACAAGACATTACTAAAGTAACCTTCAGACTACATAACGAGGCAGCAGTTAACAACTTTATAGCAGCTATGAATAACATCGATTGGCAAAATGAGCTCGAAATATATAAAGATATGAATGAATGTTTAAATAATTTTCTTAAAAAAGCCCAATGCCTCTATAACAGACATTGCCCCAGAAAAACTAAACAGATCACAACAAAGAGACTGAATAATCCCTGGCTAACACCAAGCATCCTCAAATCCATTAACACAAAGCACAAATATGAAAAACAGTATAGAATGGGTCAAATAACTAGAGAACAGTCTAAAAGTTACTCGTCAGCACTTACCAGCCTGATAAGAAGATCAAAAACATTGTATTATGAAAATAGATTGCATAACATCAAAGATGATATGAAAAAAAACTGGAAAACTCTATCTGAAATTCTTGGAACTAAAAAGTTATCCAAAAACAAAGCAATCAAACTAACAAAATCAGATGAACCCCTACTCACTCCATCCGAAATAGCAAACAGACAATGTTTTCTTCTCCACCATAGGAAAAAAATCTAGCAAACAAAATACCAAGCACAAATACCCGTCCATCAGACTACCTCATAAGTACCTACCCAAATACACTATTCCTAGCTCCAACCAACCCCATTGAAGTTACGCTCATCATAAACACCCTTAAAAACAAGGCAGGAGACATAAACAACTTGCCTGCTTTTATGTACAAAAAAGCTTCTCAAGTATTGTCACCAATTATTGCAACGCTCTTTAACAAATCCATTGAATCATCTACCTTCCCAACAGTCCTCAAAATAGAGGGGGTCACTCCGATCCATAAAGGAGGTGACCAAGCTGACTTGAATAACTATAGACCAATATCTAACTTAATACTGCTCTCTAAAATCTTTGAAAAATTACTTCATAGACGGATCTATTCCTACCTCGTTTCACACAACATATTAAACCCTTGTCAGTTTGGATTCAGGAATAATAAAAGCACAAATGATGCTATCATACACATGCTAGAACTAATATATACCGCACTTGAAGAGAAAGAAGTCCCGCTGGGCATTTTCATTGATATACGTAAAGCTTTCGATACAGTCGACCATGAACTGCTGTATTCCAAATTAATGCACTATGGTATCAGAGGCCACTTCCTCAACTACCTAAAGTTATACCTTAGTAACAGAACTCAATATGTGTATGCAAATGATGCAAACTCTTCCACCCAACCAATCACAGTAGGAGTCCCACAAGGAAGCGTCCTTGGACCACTCCTCTTTCTCATCTACATCAATGATCTACCGAATGCATCACAGCTACTCAAACCCATATTATTTGCAGATGACACTACATATGTCTTTTCCCACCCAAACACAGTCAATGCTGAATTAAAGAAAATATCTGCCTGGATGATGACTAACAAACTTACCTTGAACACTGATAAAACCTATTTCATTCAGTTTGGAAACAAAGCTGCAAATGATCCAATTAACATATCGCTAAATGGATCATCAGTCATAAGACTCAGAGGGAAAATTCCTAGGTATCCACCTTGACAGTAGCCTTAAGTTCCGGACACACATACAACAAACCACCAAGAAAATCTCAAGACTGTAGGCATCCTCTCAATGATAAGGTACTACATTCCACAATCAGCTCTCCTGGCACTGTACCATTCACTCATATACCCTTATCTTGCATATGGAATTTGTGCATGGGGATCAACAACATCCCATCACCTAAAACCCCCTAATAACCCAGCAAAAGGCAGCAGTAAGAATGATAACAAATTCCCACTCCCGCCAGCATACTCCACCAATTTTCAAAAGTCTGAATCTGCTTACCATTAAGAACATCCATACTTATTCATGTGCCTACTACATACACAGAACAATACATGCAAATATAAACCCTCCACTCAAACTTCTCCTCACCAACCTAAACAGGACACATGACCACAACACAAGACACAGATCTCTTTTTGTTATACCTCGTGTCCATATCACACTGTGTAAAAACTCTATGCACATAAAGGGCCCCAAAATATGGAATTCATTACCAGAAGATATTAAAGTAACCCAGTCTGAAAATCAATTTAAGACTCTTCTCAAAAGCCACTTAACCACCCTAGACTAAATGCTAAATACTCAGTACACACTAACCTGTGTACTCCACATAACTGAAACAATCACATTGAACCTTTTATCCATTGTTGACAGGAATAAAATTGAATCATCGTTTTCACAAAAAGCATTTTTGAATATAAATGTATCTTTGTATTATAAAAATTTTGATTCATTTATAATTAATATTCTACTGTACAACTACGAAATAATTACAATCCTACTGTACAACTATGATATACTCCTTAGTGTTAAGTAGACTGTAAGTCAATAATGTTAAGTTGGCCCATAATGCCAGGCATAATAGAGGCTCTCTTTGCATTGCAACCCACTATTGTAAATACAAAATCTCAATGTACTGTTTGCAAAGACATAAAATAAATAAATAAATAAATAAAAATAAAAAATTCCCGTCACCTGGACATTTTTCCTTACAGAGTCGGTTAGGTCCACCTTCCCTTTCTCCCTTGTGGGAGTGCTAACTGAGTTCTGTCACTGACTTAGAGAAGGGTATAGTGAGAGAGACAGACCAGTGGAAGAAAAATTTCCACCACAGTATATCCCTGATATAAATATAGAAGAAAAAATTTATATATTTTTTTTTTTTTTGACAGTTGAAGGTTGTAAAGGAGGAAGTTGATGAATCTGACAGTAGAGACAATGCCACAAAGAACAATGAATGAAAGGTAAGTTGATGAAAGTAGGACAGTAGCTACTGTCTCAATACACACACCTCTACTAGTTTTACCACATTTCTTGATCTAAAATCTGCATTTGATATTGCAAACATTGCCATTATACTACATGAACTAGGCAAAATGAATATACAGTGGAGCTTCAGTTGTTGAATGGACTAGTTTTCAAACAAATCAGTTTTCAAACTGAGTTGTTTGATTTGGTTTTCACATGTGGTCTTGGTTGTCGACCGACAGCACTCAGATCACATGATCACCTGAGTCCACAGCGAGGGTCTCAGTCAGTATAGTGACCAATGTGCATTCTCTAAACATCTCTTGAGCTCTTGCTGTGCATCTTATGAAGGTAATGAAACCAAAAGTACAAAATTTGATGGAAACTTACAGAATTACTCTATTGTGAAGTTGGCGGTCTTGGTAATAATTATGCATTAGCGATTTTGCCCAATTTGAGCCCTATTTTGGGCCAATTCCATTGTTCCAGTTGACCAAACTCATAGCTATTTCACTAGAACTTCTTTTATTCTATCGATTGAGTATGCAAAACTGCCCATTTACCTATTTCAGCTTCCCAGTAAAGTGATCTGAAATTACTAATTAGGCCAACTTCACACAAAATTCAAGAAAAGCCAATTTCATGATAGGGTCTAGCATAAACAATCCAGATATTCCTGGCACTAAAATAACATTTTATCTGTTCATTAGTCATGTCTCTCGGCCTCTCTTATATAACGCTTGCTTTTCATTTTGAATTTTTATACACACAAAAAATAGATTTACTGTCAGACTACTATATAATTGTATAAATAATATCAGCACATTTGTGAATGCATATTAAACCCACAGTTGACGTGTATTGGACACATGATTTGTTTACTCTTGAACATCGGCAAAAATCAAACATTTCCGCTAATTTGAGCTCAATTTCAAGCTACTTTTATTCTTTAAACCATTGAAAATCATCTCTACTTCTGCAACATATCTTCCATTCTGTCAAATGAGACCAAGAAAGCAAGAATACAACCATAAATACCACATGAAAATACACCGCAAAGTCACTGTTTTAACCCTTAAACTGTCCACACGTAGACATACGTGCATGTGCAGAGCGCTCCAGATGTATATCAACATTTTATTTTTCATTCCTTCAAATTTGGCATGATAGGCCTGATTCGCCTAGACATGAAAGAATGGGTCTGTGCACTCAGTGTGCGCACTGAAAAAAATTGGGGAGCACTTAGTACCTTGTGGGAGCACCAGTTCAACTGAGCGCCAGTTAGAGCAAATATCGTGGCAAACACCAGTGATTCACTGGTGTCATGTCATATTAACACTCACATTTTAAGAGGAAAGTAAAAATAGGTTAGATAAATGCATGAGTGGGTGTGAGTTGGACCTGACTAGCTTGTGCTACTAGGTCAGATGTTGTGCTCCTTCTTTCAGTGGATGTGACCTGACTAGGTGGGCCATTGGTCTAAGCTGGGAGGGTAACATGGACCTGCCTTGCATGGGCCAGTAGGCCTGCTGCAGTGTTCCTTCTTATGTTCTTATGTATTTGGCTGGCTGGCTTTGGCTGTCTCTATCTGTATCTGTTTATATCTCTGTTTGTCTATATCTCTGTCTGTATCTGTTTATATCTCTGTCTGTCTATATCTCTGGCTATATCACTGTCTATCTGTATCTCTGTCTACATCTCTGTCTCTCACATGTACTCATAAATACAGTTATTATACATAATGTAAATAACCTAGGATAACCCAAAAATTCCAGGCCAAGTGTTATACAGTGTTTGTAGACATAAGACATAAGACAAACATAGCACAAATAATAGCAGTGTCACCTGCTCAGCAATCAGGGAGCGGCACATACACCACAAACCAACAGGTTTACTAGCCGCTCCCTGAGACAGAGACAAGCAGATGGAAAGACAGACACACACAGGCAGACAGACAGACAGATAAGCAGAACTAGACAGACAGAAAGATGTACAGATAGACAGACAGACATACAGAGACATGTTTGTGTGCAAGAGTCAAAACATATAAAGGCAAGGTTTCCCCCTCCAGCAGCACATATTCATCAAATGTCATTTCTTTTCTGACGCTTGTCATAACACCATTCTTCAAGGAGTATCATACTCCAGCATGTCTAAAACACTGCTGGGACCTATAAATACTTTGTATATATTTCTAGACAATAGTAAATGACCAAGGTAGGTGAAAATGTTCACCTGTCAGTGCGATTGTTACAATTTGAGTACTATTTCAGTGCATAATATTAGTGTCAGAACAAAATTGGCTATAAAATCACAAGAACTATTATAAATTGTAATTATCAGAACATAAAAAATATATAAATTAAAATAAAAATGAGAGAAAAAGGTAAACTGGCAACACTTCTTCAAGCGGAAGGACTGGATGTTGCCGTCAGGTGAGCATCCAGAGCCAACTTCGTGGTCTTATATCTCGGTAGGTACTGGTCCTAACATTTTTTTTTTTTTTTTTTTGGTCCCACAGTTACTAAAAACAACAGACATAGCCCCACTCCACAAAGGAGGCAGTAAAGCAACAGCAAAGAACTACAGACCAATAGCACTAACATCCCATATCATAAAAATCTTTGAAAGGGTCCTAAGAACCCATCAGTTACACAACCCAGGGCAACATGGGTTTAGAACAGGTCGCTCCTGTCTGTCTCAACTATTGGATCACTACGACAAGGTCCTAAATGCACTAGAAGACAAAAATAATGCAGATGTGATATATACAGACTTTGCAAAAGCCTTCGACAAGTGTGACCATGGCGTAATAGCGCACAAAATGCGTGCTAAAGGAATAACAGGAAAAGTCGGTCGATGGATCTATAATTTCCTCACTAACAGAACACAGAGAGTAGTCAACAGAGTAAAGTCCGAGGCAGCTACGGTGAAAAGCTCTGTTCCACAAGGCACAGTACTCGCTCCCATCTTGTTCCTCATCCTCATATCCGACATAGACAAGGATGTCAGCCACAGCACCGTGTCTTCCTTTGCAGATGACACCCGAATCTGCATGACAGTGTCTTCCATTGCAGACGCTGCAAAGCTCCAGGCGGACATCAACCAAATCTTTCAGTGGGCTGCAGAAAACAATATGAAGTTCAACGATGAGAAATTTCAATTACTCAGATATGGTAAACATGAGGAAATTAAATCATCATCAGAGTACAAAACAAATTCTGGCCACAAAATAGAGCGAAACACCAACGTCAAAGACCTGGGAGTGATCATGTCGGAGGATCTCACCTTCAAGGACCATAACATTGTATCAATCGCATCTGCTAGAAAAATGACAGGATGGATAATGAGAACCTTCAAAACTAGGGAGGCCAAGCCCATGATGACACTCTTCAGGTCACTTGTTCTATCTAGGCTGGAATATTGCTGCACACTAACAGCACCTTTCAAGGCAGGTGAAATTGCCGACCTAGAAAATGTACAGAGAACTTTCACGGCGCGCATAACGGAGATAAAACACCTCAATTACTGGGAGCGCTTGAGGTTTCTAAACCTGTATTCCCTGGAACGCAGGAGGGAGAGATACATGATTATATACACCTGGAAAATCCTAGAGGGACTAGTACCGAACTTGCACACGAAAATCACTCACTACGAAAGCAAAAGACTTGGCAGACGATGCACCATCCCCCCAATGAAAAGCAGGGGTGTCACTAGCACGTTAAGAGACCATACAATAAGTGTCAGGGGCCCGAGATTGTTCAACTGCCTCCCAGCATACATAAGGGGGATTACCAACAGACCCCTGGCAGTCTTCAAGCAGGCACTGGACAAGCACCTAAAGTCGGTTCCTGACCAGCCGGGCTGTGGCTCGTACGTTGGTTTGCGTGCAGCCAGCAGCAACAGCCTGGTTGATCAGGCTCTGATCCACCAGGAGGCCTGGTCACAGACCGGGCCGCGGGGGCGTTGACCCCCGGAACTCTCTCCAGGTAAACTCCAGGTAAACACAGAAAATTGCCCTCTTTAATTTAAAAACAGAAATAGTTTTTTTTTTTTTTGTTTTTTTTTTTTTCAAAATATTCGGAGCACCATGCAGGTGAACGTAGATCTACATTTGTACAGTTTAAGGGTTAAACCAAAAACATGGTTGCAGTTTTTTTTTCTCTTGCACTGTGTGCTCCAGGATATTTTTAATGCTGTGCACACTGACCATGAAAACCCAGTCTCTCATATGTAGGCCTACCAGCTTTCTCCTGCAAGATTTGAAGCTGCTAGAGTTTTGCCATTAGTTATCATCTGACAGGTAAGAGGCAGTTAAATTTTCATTTAATGTATAGTATTTCAATTAAATTTTTGTTTAGTATTCATTTGTACAGTTTCTGTGTGCTGTATATTTTTTATACACTGTTTTATGTAGTAGTACAGTGGAACTTCAGTTTTTGTTTGCCCTGGTTTTCGTCAAATTTGGTTTTCAACGACTTTTTTCATCAAAATTTTGTCCCAGTTTTCATTCATCACCTCAGTTTTCGTCCGCCGTACCGAATGTGTCCGCCTTCCTGCGCCCACACAAAGCATCCCACGCACACGTTCTGAGTCAGTCTGACTTTGTTTCTCGTAGAGTGAACATTACCCTGCGCTTTGATACGAAACATTTTGTAATAATCCATTGTGTTTTGTGCTTGTTTATTGAATGCAACTGCTAAATAAGTCAACATGGGGCCAAAGAAAGTTCCAAGTGCCAGCCCTTTGATGAAGAAGCAAGAAATTGTGGCCAGAATATATCCAAGAGAAGGATTTTGAAGAGTTTGAGGCTGAGCCTGACAACTCTACGCCTGTTTTGGAATCTATTGTGGCTTTGGGGAAGTCCATGGGGTTGGATGTGAGTGGCCAGGATGTGGAAGTGTTGGTGGACAATCATAGGGAAGCACTAACCATTGAAGAGCTGCAACTGAAACAGCAACAGATTGCAGCTGAGGAAATTGTTTCAGAGGAGGAG